TTAGAAATTTTAAGTATATATACAGTTAATAAGATTTAGGAATTATCTGTGTCACTTTAGTTCTATAAGCTCAGACAGTCACTAAAAAGTGTTCAAAGTACCACAGAAATTAGACATTATTTATAGTATGAAAATCTCATTGCTCAGAAAAATTCGTATATTGTACAACGCTGTCAAAGAGTGCACAAAAGTCCTAGGAAAAATACTACGTTGCATTTTTGTTTTGTTTAGTCAATTTGTAAACTTTATTTTTATTTTTATGTGTATAGGTATTTTGCCTGAATATGTGTCTGTGTACTATGTGGGTGTAGTGACCATGGGGGACAAAGAAGGTGTTGGTTGCCCTAGAACTGGACTTAGAGATGGTTTGTGAGCTGCTATGTAGGTGCTGTAAATTGAACCTAAGCCTTCTGGAAGATCAGCCAATATTCTTAATTGCCAAGGCGTCTCTCCCCAAGATCAGGTTGTTAAAGCACAATTCTAAACCAGACTTACCCTGCCAAACTTAAGAACCCATCCCAGGGAATTGCCCTGTTTATCTGAGGGGAGGGAAATTATTTACATTTATTAACCTGGTAAGATTTTAGGAACCACTTACCTCAGGAACACTTACCATCACTCCTTTCAAATGGAAGAGAACCGAATATAAAGCTATCCACTTTGTAAAGGCCCAATGAGATAATTCACGCAAAGAATTTAACCCAGCACTCACCAAGTTTAAAAACACAGTTAAAAGTTACAGCTGTGCTGTTGTGATGCAGTCGTGAATCCTAGCCGATAGGAAGCTGAGAACTAAAAATAAAGGCTTGCTTAGATGGCGGGAAGCAATCTCAGGGAAAGTCTAAATTAGTGAGACACTACCTCAACATAAAAACTGCAGGGAGCAAGAACTATAACCACCATCAACCTTCCTGTTTTCATTCACAGCTTATAAATGATTGGCCATGAGAAACTCTGTCATATCTAATGTGGAAAAATATAAAATTGTTGCTCTCATCTTTCAGTCAATTTTTGGTTTGGTCACTAAACAGAACATATTTTATTAGCAATCACAGTTCTTTAAAAAAAAGATACTAACTGCAAATTATTGTTCCTATTCCACAAAAAGTGAAAGCTTGAAATAAGTTATAGTAACAAGAATATTACATAGTATTACTTCAGGAAATGATAATAATGATAATTACTAGTTTTCTGATAAAGACCACCATAGCATGAAACAATGTTTTCTAGCATATCTTTTGTAGCACAGTACAATCACAGAACTGCTTTTAAATTTTAAAGAAAATTTGGCCAAATCCCAGCGTAATTTTTCACAGATCTTGATAGGACAATACTGAAGTTTATATGGAAAAACAAAAGACCCAAGATAGCCAAAACATCCCTGTACAATAAAGGAACTTCTGGAGGCATCACCATCTTTGACTTCAAGCTCCTATAGAGCCCTAGTCCTGAAAACAGCTTTGTATTGGCACAAAAATAGACTGGTAGGCCAATGGAATAGAGTTGAAAACCCTGATATTAACCCACACACCTACAAACACCTGTTTTTTTTTTTTTTTTACAAAGACGCTAAATGCTGGAACAAAGAGAACATCATCAAAAAATGGTGCTGGCATAACTGGATGA